CCCTATCCTATTTCTCTATTATGTCTTTTCTCTCACCATTATCTTTATTATCCTATTAGCTGGTAAGTTCAGAATTTTCTAACTTCAAAAAGGTTAGAGAAAAACACATTGTAAGATATTGAACTGTTATTTACACTATGACCCAAAACCTCAATCTTGGCATGAGATGCTATTTACCGCTGACACTATGTCTACAACTAACCTCTAAAGGGAAAAAAAAAACCCTACATATTTACTATGGGCTATGAAGAAGAAAGATATTTTGATGTGAAAAGAGAATTCAACAAAACAGGAAAGAACATGCCTCATATACCATTGATCCTTGAACACAGACTTGAACTGCACAGGTCTGCTTATATGTGGATTTTACAGTATAGTACTGTAAATCTATTTTCTCTTCATTATGATTCTCTTCATAACATTATCTTTTCCCTGGCTCACTTTATTGTAAGAATACAGTACATAATACATATCATATATAAAATGTGTTAATTATTTAAGTTATTGGTAAGGCTTCCCATCAACAGTACGCTATTAGCAAATGTTCTTGGGGAGTTAAAAGTTATACTCAGATTTTTGACTGTGCAGGGATTGGCTCAAGGTATTTCACACTCATGGATAATCTTATCACTTAGCTAAATAATACTAACAGCTAACACTTATTAGGCAATTAGCATGCAACCAGACATTACATTTTATCTTTTTTAAAGATTTATTTATTTAAGAGAGAGAGAAAGCATGAGCAGGAGGAGGGGCAGGGGGAAAGGGAGAGAGAATTTCAAGCAGACTCTGCTGAACAGAGCCCGATGCAAGGCTCAATCTCCTGACCCCAAGATCCTGATCTGAGCCGGAACCAAGAGTCTGACACTTAACCCACATAGCCACCCAGGTGCCCCAGGCATTGCATTTTATATGCTAAGCACTGTACCTTATCTATTAGCTCATTTAATCCTCAGAATTGCCCTATGAAGAACAGAAAATTTTCCCACTTTTCAGATGCAAAAATGGAAACAAAGAAGCTTAAGTAACCTGATCAAGGTCACAGAGCAAGTGACCGAGTCAGGATTCAAACCCAGATTTCAGAGCTCATACCTTAAATCTCTAAGCTACAGCCTTCAAAAAGAAGTTGTACAGGGATAGTACATTGTAGAGGGGTGTGTGTTCTGGATAAATTTAAAAATTCATTACCTTATAAATGAAGCAAAGTAGTAAAGAAATTCCTTAATTATTACCACTAGTAAGTGATAATACCTTAACTTTTTTGGCTCTGATTTGTATTTAAGGATAGCCTGAATTTGCGACTAAGTATAGAATGAAAAGTAATAAATAATCTTCAACTGTGTCCCTACACCATCTGTCCACATTAAATAATCATTTGACAAACTCAATGGATAGCTTTTCCTTTTATAATTTCAATTTGCATCAAAAGATCACTCAACCATTACATTTGGTGTGTGTATATATATATATATATACACACATATATATACACATATATAAGGAAATATTATTCAATCATAAAAAGGATGAAATCTTGCCATTTGCAATGACACAGATGGAGCTAGAATATAATCCTAAGCAAAATAAGTCAGTCAGAGAAAGACAAATATCATGATTTCACTCATATGTGGGACTTAAGAAAACAAATGAGCAAAAGGGAAAAAAAGAAAAGAGAAAGTCAAACCAAGAAACAGACTCTCAACTGTAGAGACCACACTGATGGTCACCAGAGGGGAGGTGGGTGGGGTATGGGTGAACTAGGTGATGGGGATTAAGGAGTACACTTGTGATGAGCACCGGGTATTGTATGGAAGTGTTGAATCACTATATTGTTCACTTGAATCTAATATAACACTGTATGTTAACTAACGGAATTTGAATAAAAGCATTCAGTAATTAAACTCATTAACAATAATTAAAGAGCTATTTTTATATGTGAACTTCAATAATTTAAATAAAGCCAAAGTTATAATATTGGGGGAAAGAAGCCCAACAAACCCTCCATAATAATGGAGACTAGAATAAATCTTGTGATCTTAGATTGGAATTAGAGGGATCACACGAACTCATGGTTTTTAAGATGAGATAGAAAAATAAATACACGGCATACATACATATATTGCCTAGTTTTGTTCACTGAAAAAATCTAGAACCAATGACCCAGTGCCATTGAAGTCTAGCTCCCAGATCTTGGTTTCTAAACAACCATCCTCCACTAAAAGCAACCACTGATCTTTTGAGGAATGGCTGGTTCCAAGACTGGGGAGAAAAGAAAGAACAAGCTGAGCTTGGAATACTTAACGGTGCCAGAAAGTGAGTAAATCCAGAAAGATGGGGAAATGTCAAAAGGATGAAAGAAAGAGCCTGAAGGCAAAATGCAGCAGAATTTGAGCATCAAGATGATGGATTATAATCCATTGATAAGATAGGAATCCAAGGGCTTATAGGTAATATACATAAATAGATAAATAGGTAAGAAGAGACAACTCTTTCTTCAGTAGAATACCAGCTAATAAATGTAGAAAGGATAATGGTTATAAAAAAATTGCTCCTTTGCTACCATCCCAGTAATAGGTAATTCAGTCAAGAATCACTAATGGGTGTCAAAATGAGTGGGTACAAGTTTCATCTGACAAACTCCACCTTGAACAAGTGATTAAAGTTAAGATCACCAAAAATGCGACAAACTGATATGCGCCTCCTGATGGGATTCACATTAAAGGACATAATTCCACTTCTCTGGTGTTCTTGACAAAGATGCATAGCCTAAATCCAATCATTTAGGGACATTCTTCAAAATAACTGCCCTGTCCTCAAAGATGTCCAGATCAATAAAGAAGAAAGACTGAGGAATATTCCAACTTAAAAGAGGCTAAGAAAACACAGTAACTAAATGCAATGCTTGATGTGTGGGATCCTGGACTGGGAAAAAAAGACAATTGTCAAATTTTAAATTTAAATATTAAAATTTAAAATTAAATTCAAAATTAAAATCTAAATATGGACTACAGAATAGATAACAGTATTACATCAACACTGCATTTCCAGACTTTGATAACTACACTGTGGTTATGTAAGAGAATGTCCTTATTCTTAGAAAATTTACCTTCCAATATATTTAGAACCAAAAGACATGTCTGCAATGTACTCTGAAATGGTTCAGAAAAAAAAGTCCATGTGTGTATGTGTGAATGTGTAACACAAACATATACACATATATTTACTTATGCACACACTGGTAGAACATAATGATAAAGTGAACGGGCAAACTTGAGACAGTGAATCGTGTGAAGGATATAGGGGAATTCTTTTACACTATTCTTGCAACTTCTCTATAAGCTTGAAACCATCTTACCCCCCAAAATCTCATCCTTCTCTAATTGCTTATTTTTATCTGGCTACCTTTAAAAAAAGGATGCTTTTATTTTTCACATATTTTATTTTAGATCAGTTAGTGACAAAGTCTAATTCATCATCTCCAACATCAATAATGCATTTTGAACTATATCTTACATCTTATATATTTGAACTATATCTTATATACTTTTCCTAAAGTATATAAGAATGAACTATCTTTTCCAAGAATTCTCCATTTGTTGTTAATTGGCAGCAGTATTTTGGAATAAATTATTTCTCAAGTACATGCCCTGAACATAGCTATAGCTAAATAACTCTAATTTTAAAGAACTTTTATCTTCCCACACAACTCCTTTGTAAGTATATTCCACTCAGAAAATTTTATTTCCAGAAAAAACTTCAGAAAAGTATTAACACAGTACAGCCACCCTCACTATATAAAATCTTCCCTGAATTATTTCCGTATATATATATAAAAAAATCTTCACAGGATCTGGCAGAAATCTGGCAAAAGAAACTGAGTTTTAAAAAAGCGTGTGGCTGGGCGCCTGGGTGGCTCAGTTGGTTAAGCGACTGCCTTCGGCTCAGGTCATGATCCTGGAGTCCCAGGATCAAGTCCCACATCGGGCTCCCTGCTCGGCAGGGAGTCTGCTTCTCCCTCTGACCCTCCTCCCTCTCATGCTCTCTGTCTCTCATTCTCTCTCTCGCAAATAAATAAAATCTTAAAAAAAAAAAAAAAAGCGTGTGGCACATTCTGTGGCGGAGGTTATCATTAGAAAAAAAAAGGTACAGACACATAGGATGTATGAGGAAAATGGATGGTCTGGGGGGCACTTTCTACCCTCTGATTCTACAGCTTGATGCTCAAGGTCAAGGAGTTTACAGCTGCGATGGAATACATCTGAACAACCACATAACTTGACAAGGACCCAGGATAGGACTTGGAGAAATTGCGATTTTGAATACAATATGGAGATACTGATGAAGATCTAGCCAATGTGGATGTTACCATATCCGTGGGCGGAATTGGTTGAGGAAGAAAAGTGTATAATTACAAGGACCAAATAGGACAGAAATAGCACCTGGAGGCAAATTACTCAGGGAAGGAAGCATCAAGGATGTAAATGGATGTTTTGAACTAAAATTTTTTTTTAAGATTTTATTTATTTGACAGAGAGACATAGCGAGAGAGGGAACACATGCAGGGGGAGTGGGAAAGGAAGAAGCAGGCTTCCCAAGGAGCAGGGAGCCCGATGTGGGGCTTGATCCCAGAACCTGAGATCATGACCTGAGCCGAACGCAGATGCTTAACGACTGAGCCACCCAGGCGCCCCTGAACTAAATTTTTTTTTAATGCTATGAAGAAACCTTCAAAAAGACACCAATGTTCTCAAAATTAAATCCATATATATGTGCTCAATTTTTAGAAAACAGTAATTCAATTAGGAACAGTAAAAAAGGACGAAAAAATAGCTCCTTTTGGTATGGAATCAATCAAATATTTAAAGGTCTGTTATGTGCAAAGTACTATAACAGTTAATAGAATCCATTTAGGATGATAGAGAAAACGTCTGAAAATTGGGTGATGGGGCCTCTTGAATTAGTCTTTCCAAGTCAGAGAACACCTTTACCGTTGTTCTTACCTTTCTCTCTGTCCTTGAAACTAAGGTATGTAAAAAAGATGTTGGTAAATGGCAAAGTCCTGTCTTCCTGTTGGCGAAAAAAATGTTCAGGGATTAATTTTAGTTTACTCAAAAACAGATTTCATATACTTTTAAAGATTTATTTGAGAGAGGGAGGGAGTCTGCATACATGTGCCCACACACCTGGGGAGGAGGGGCAGAGGAAGAGAGAAACAGAGTCCCAAGCCGACCCCCACTGAGCTCAGAGCCCCATGGGGCCCCATCCCATGCAACCAAGACCACAATCAGAGTGGAAATAAAAGAGTTGGATGCTTAACCAACTGCGCCACCCAGGCGCCCGTAGATTTCAATATTTTTATGCATTCATTTCTCTTCTGATGAATATACCTTAAATGTTACAAAAGCCTTACTATTTACATGTCAAGAATGAAATCCATGTTTAGGACTCAAAAGAAGATGAGCGGTTATTTTGTTTTTAAGATTTTATTTATGAGGGCGCCTGGGTGGCTCAGATGGTTAAGCGTCTGCCTTCGGCTCAGGTCATGATCCCAGGGTCCCGGGATCGAGTCCTGCATCGGGCTCCCTGCTCTGCGGGGAGCCTGCTTCTCCCTCTGCCTCTCTCTCTCTCTGTCTGTCATGAATAAATAAATAAAATCTTTAAAAAAAAAAAAAGATTTTATTTATGTATTTGAGAAAGCGCACGAGTGGGGGTCAGGCAGAGGGAGAAACAGACTCCCCACCCAGCACAGACCCCAACAGGGGCTGGATCTCATGACCCAGAGATCATGATCTGAGCCAAAACCATGAGTGGGTCACAGCTCAACTGAGTGAGCCCCCAGGCGCCCCTGACCGGTTGGGTTTTTTTTTTTTTTTTATAGATTTTATTTATTTGTCAGAGAGAGAGAGAGACAGAGCACAAGCAGGGGGACCGGCAGGCAGAGGGAGAGGGAGAAACAGGCTCCCTGCCGAGCAAGGAGCCTGATGCGGGACTCGATCCCAACACCCTGGGATCATGACCTGAGTTGAAGGCAGATGCTTAACCAACTGAGCCACCCAGGTGTCCCTCGATTGTTTTTTTAATGCAAGGAAAGCATCACTAAAACAGGCAACTGTTAATGTTAAATCTTAATAAAAAATTTAGAAATTCAGTATGGTTTATTACTATTCTCAAGAACATAATTCCCCGTCATTCCTAAGTACCAGAAGTTCGCTTCAAAACAGGAAGCGAAGGCTGAAGGCAAAAAGGAGCAAAATGAAGCGACGTTCTGATTTTGGAGTCGTTCCCTCCTCCATTTGAAAACAGGCACCTATACTTATCAGCTGGGCAATTGTCCTCAAATTAGTTCAGCTGTAGGAGCCTTGATTTTTTTGTTGTAAAAATGAGGTGAGGTGACACAGGGGAAACTACTAAGGTCATCCATAAAGATAAATTAAGACCCCTGGGTGTCCACACAGTCATAAAATCTTGCGCTCCAATTAAACAGTCAAGTGCCCGATCAGAGATATTTCTTGCTATGTATTCTAAGTGGAAATCTACTTTTATTTACTCTGCTTAGGACTCTGTGATTTCCGAATCTGAGTGTTCGTGTTTTATCAATTTTGGTAAACCATCAGTATATCCTTAAAGATTATCTCTCCCCCACTGATGTTACTCTCTTCCTCTGTAACTTCTGTTGGATGTGCATTAGGTTTTCTTACTATATCATCTACATCACTCAACCTCTCTTTTATAATTTCTTTTTTATTTTATTTTTTTAAGATTTTATTTATTTATTCATGAGAGACAGAGAGAGAGGCAGAGGGAGAAGCAGGCTCCCAAGGAGCAGGGAGCCCGATGCGGGACTCGATCCCAGGACGCTGGGATCATGACCTGAGCCGAAGGCAGACACTTAACCATCTGAGCCACCCAGGTGCCCTATAATTTCTCTTTATATTTTTGTAATCAGGGGCTTGAATTCATAACCAAAATTCACAACATCCCAGAGCGACTGGGTGGCTCAACGGGTTGAGCGACAGACTCTTGATTTTGTCTCAGGTCGTGATCCCAGGGTCCTGGGATAGAGCCCCTTACCAGGCTCCTGCTCTGCCGGGGGTCTGCTTCTCCCTCTCGCTCTGCCACTTGCCCTGCTCCTGCACACACTCTCTCATTCTCAAATAAATAAATCTTTAAAAAAATATTCACAATATCCAGTTAAGTACTTTTCTTTAGCTGTGTACAATTTCCACTTAATTTGTCCATTCAGCTTATTTCTGTGACTCTCTTAGTTCCAGAAGACACAGAGTACTGTCTTTAATTTTATACAATCTTTTTCCATGTTTTTTATCCCACATTTTTAAAGTCAGAAAATGCTCATTCTTTTAAATTCTTGGGACTCTAAATGTGTTGTTTGTTGTTTCTGTCAATTCTTACTCGTGGTAGATTATTTTGTTGAAAAATTTCGAGATTTTGTAATTTTTTGTAATTTTTTAATTTTGAGCCTCTGCAGTGAGGGGCTTCACTGGTGGGAGTTTTGTGTAGGCTGGTTTAAGATCACTCATTGCATACTGCTTTTGCTTTGGCCAGGCCTCCCAGGTTGTGTTACCAGCCAGGGACGGTTTTTATTTAAATTCTCGGCTGAGGAAAGCATTCATATGAACCCTAAACCTCAGGGTTAATAGATCTACAGTTACAACATCTCAAGGAAGCCCCTCTCTTCAACATAGTGTCAAGGCAGAAACAGAAAAACTTATCCCTTGGCTATTGGGCAGATTACTGCCCCCACCCAATCCATCAAGGGTCCTGGCTATATGTGGAGCTCTCAGTACCAATACCCTATTTGGGTTCCCCAGCTCAGTCCTGACGGCCTCCTTTTCTCTCCCCATGTGAAAGTTAAAAATCAAGCCCATTGGGGGCACCTGGGTGGCTCAGTCGGCTAAGCATCCAACTCTTGATTTCAGCTCAGGTCTTGATCTCCAGGTCATGAGTTCAAGCCCTTCGTTGGGCTCCATGCTGTGCATGGAGCCTACTTTAAAAAAAAAAAGAAAGAAAAAATCCAGGCCCATTGGATAGCTGCCCCCACGCTGTTCTCCTAAAAGAGCTCTTTAAAACATGCAATATTTATTGAACATTTAATGAGTGCCAGGTACTGTGCTCACACTTTACATCTTATTTCATTTCATTCTCATAGAAACTTTACTATTTTTCTCATGCAATAGATGAGGAAACAAACATAAGTAACTGGCTCTAGGTTATGTAGCAAGTAAATAGCAGAACTGAAATCTGAACCCCGATTTATGTGAATTTGGAGTGTGCACTGTTAATTATCATACACTGCCACTTTCTAGAACTTCCTCCTAGGGCCTAGGCTAGTGCTAAATGCAGAACAGTCAGTCGAGGATTGCCTGCTGAATGAACACATTCTCCTTCAGTGTGTAAGCCTGTTTTGGGAAACCCTGAGAATAATCAAGTATTTGGCAGATTACCAAGAGCAGACATAACGTTGAATGGCACTTTCAGTCATGCTTTATACTTCAATTGCAATATTAAAACGCCTATCTTGGGACCCCTTGGGTGACTCAGTTGGTTAAGTGGTTAACTGTCTGCCTTCGGCTCAGGTCATGATCCCAGGGTCCTGGGATCGAGTTCCGCACTGGGCTCCTTGCTCAGTGGGGAGCCTACTTCTCCCTCTCCCTCTGCCTGCCACTCTTCCTGCTTGTGCTCTCTGACAAATAAATAAATAAAATAGTTAAAAAAAAAAAAGCCTGGGGGCGCCTGGGTGGCTCAGTTGGTTAAGCGACTGCCTTCGGCTCAGGTCATGATCCTGGAGTCCCTGGATCGAGTCCCGCATCGGGCTCCCTGCTCGGCAGGGAGTCTGCTTCTCCCTCTGACCTTAGGACAAAGTTAGAAGAAGGAGGAAAGGAAATTCTTTTTTTTTTTTAAAGATTTTATTTATTTATTTGAGAGAGAGAATGAGAGACCGAGAGCACGAGAGGGAAGAGGGTCAGAGGGAGAAGCAGACCCCCCGCTGAGCAGGGAGCCCGATGCGGGACTCGATCCCGGGACTCCAGGATCACGACCCGAGCCGAAGGCAGTCGCTTAACCAACTGAGCCACCCAGGCGCCCAGGAAAGGAAATTCTAAGAGCCTTTGTTATCTGGCCTTAGAAAAATCCAGTTGTAGTTTGAGATACTAGGTGATATAAGTTCTACATGACACATTTTCAAAAACTTATTTTTTTTTTAATGAAATAAGCACTGTAGTTTAAAAAGTATCTAGTGGATATGGTCTTGTGTTTGCTTATTTATTGCTTCAGGATTTTCCATGAGTTATTTCATGCATGTAGATTATTCACTGAGGGGAATTCAAGGGTCTGAAGCAAGAGAATGTGTTACTTCTTGTGCCCTCTCCAGTTCCTCAGGCACACGACAGGTGTTATAAACACTTGCTCAACCTGACTAAAATACTAATGTCTCTCTTTCACTACCTCTTACCTGAGGAAAAAAATGGTCACATCACTTAAGATGATGTTTAAAATGTATTTAACAACAAAAACCCAGAAATATTATCTGGTAGGAAACAGACATAGAGGAGAAACTCCAAACAGAGAATATTTTTGTCTCTGAAAGATGAAATAGGATAACAAGTCAGCAAATTCCAAAAAAGCAGCATGAATTAGTAAAAACAACAAAAACAAAAGGCAACAAAATTAAACGGGCCTACTGTACTTTCTGACCTAGAAAGTTTTGAGTCTGTAATTATAAATCCTTGCTGCTCATGTTATGCAAACTAAAGAACGGTTAAATATTCAAAGAAAATACAGAAAAACTGTTAAAATTTTTCCCAAAGACAGAAATGAGACAGATGGAACCAGACCAACATCAAATTTATTTTAAACTAGCTTGTCCGTTTTTTTTCTTCAACTATAATTTTACTAGAAAGGTTCACCTTCTCACATTCTTGACTGGCTTTCTCCATGACAGAAAAAACATAAAAGGATCATTCCATGCCCATTTAAAAGGCAAAATGAAAATCTTTGAAACAAATGGAATAAAACTGGTTCCAAGAAGAATCATGACTGGCCTTACTGAA